TGCTGTGAAAATGCATTTCTGTATTTTAAATAAATGTGCATTAATGTGTTTACGTCTTGCGTGTGTTATGTGTCCCTAACAGGGCTTTCAAGGTAAGTGAGGCATTTATGGAGCGTTTTTGCTAGTTCCCCCTATTTTAATCCACAGGAGAGCATCCCTGTGAGATACGAGCAGAGTGAGAAAAAGTGTCAATCTTTCGCGGCTCACTCAAAATTAAAGCCTGATTCCCCCCCACACTCCACTTAGGGTTAGGGGTGAATGTGCCTCCCACCCCGGCAGAACCAGTCCCTAGTGGTTTGATTTTATTGATTGATTTAAAATATTTTTAAAATTCAACCCTTTATGCTGGAGTGCCCTCTGGTGGCGCCCTCTGGGCATTGCGGCCTATTGTGCCCTGATGAGGAATTGCCGCTTAGTGCCGCACCAAGTTTGAGACTCCATTTCTTGTGTTGGAGTGCCCTCTGGTGGCTGTGTGGGGGCATTGCAGCCTGCTGATTTCCAAACGCTGTTAAAACCACCAAGTGCTTTAGAATTTTCTCTCCTTTGTGCCACAAACGTGTTCATGTATTGTATTGGCAAAGGCTATTGATGGTTGTGTGTCACCCCCCCACCGATGCCCCGTTTCGTTGATTAGAGCGCCGTCTGGTGGCCATATGCGAGCACTACAGCTGATCGGTCTCTAGGACCAAAGAAAACGTGATTGCTTATAGTTTGGTGCCCTCTGCTGGCCACTTATGGTCATTGCCTCCGAAAAACAGAAGCGAAGCTCCCCCAGCCACCATGGCCAGTGACACCTGGGCTTTGTAGTCCATAAAGCTAATATTTCCACGCTATACAAAACTGGTTAGTTTTTAAAGTTCCACATGCCCCAGCTCAATAAATAAAGTGGCTACAAATGTTGCTTTTAATTTCTGGGACAAAATAGGATTGCCAGATTTTTTTAAAAATCAGGTTGCTTGCTTTCCACCAGAGCGTTCAGTTTACTTTCCACATCAGGGGCAGATCAGGAGCATCAAGTTAACCCCATCCAGCTGAACTTGTGGAACAGCAGCAGGCGGGGGGGGGGGGGG